GAGCCTGAGTCTGCACAGTAGTGATCGTGAGGTGGAGACCGAGAGAATAGTGAGAGATATCAAAGTCCCGCCCAAACTCCCGCAGACCCAATCACAAGCTCACAATCATGACGCCACACCCCATTTTTTATAACATCAAATAACTAATTAGAAGCAAACTTATTAGAAAAACGAGCACTTGAACATACATCAGCATTATAAGAACCACCTAAAATGATGGAAAAAAACTTTGGTAAAAATGCATTTGATTTGTAATTAGATTTTTTAGTTTGGCTTATTTCCCATTTGTTTTCATGGAGAAGGTAGGGTTTATGACCTATCCTGCAGCCAGACACCAGATGGTGATCAAAATATTTTGGCTTCACTTTTCAGGATGTGTGTGGCACACTTGGGCACAGTTCATTGCACAGAATTTATAACAAATCTAATTAGTTGTATTGCAAATAAAATATAGATAAAGGTGTACTTATCTGAACGTTCATATATGTTGAGTCCCAAAGCATCAACACCCAACCACAGCTCAGATCCTTTTTTGTTTTTGATGCTGAAATAGTTCACTCCATACATCTCCAGATCCTGGGAAATCTTCAAGTATTCTATCATAGCGTCCTCTCTGTGGAGATAAAGCTTTACTGACCATGTACTCAAACAACTAGCTTTAGGTTCAGACGTTGTGAAGTTTCTACCTGAGCATGCCTTTGTGTTGCTCATGCCACACCTGGATTCGTTCTTCCCACTGCTCTTTAGTCAGTTTGTGTTGTTCAAGAACTCTAGAAGAAGGTATTTACATGTAAAACAGCAGCTTTCAAAACACAACACAATAATGTGATCTTAGTTGGTGTTCAAAGAATAGAACAACACCTTTGTGGCAGCAGTTTGTCTCTGCACAAATATCCAGGCACGTGATATTCGTTGTTGTATTCACCGTATTTCATCTGCACAGCGTATGAGGTCAGGAGAACGGCCGTCTCAGGTGGACAGTAGATATCATCATTCAAGATCCCCTCTTTCACCTGGAGGAAGAAAAGACGCTGCGTAGCTTCCTGAATCAGCTCTTCAGCCACGTCCTCAGGGTAGAACTTTGCTCGAAATTTAATCAGCAATGGGTTTTCTTTTCTGACATCTTGAGCAGTCACCTAACATACAAACACAAGTATTTGTTAGATGTGTTTCACTATGTTCTTTTAAGTGCCATTAAACTGATGCAAATGAAAACTCTGTAATCACGGAAATACAATTACTATTACACATTAACAATAATATGAACAGAAAATAGTATTGTAAAATACATAAAAATAGAGAGTTGCTATTTACAGAGAATGTAGTTTTTGCACATAAAATGTGTACTGTCAAGAGACTTTATTGGGAATTTTTTTTTTTTTTTTTTTACTTTTAGCATTGGCTATTAAAGGGACAGGGGCTTGATTACTGTATTGCAGGGTCATGCTACTCAGTAAAACACTGGGCAGAAAATGTGTCTTTTTATGAGAAACGGGGATAAGGGGATTAAAGTTTTGACATCTGGCAACCACAAGCATGAAAACTTGTGAAGGTCTATATTTTTTGTACTCATTTTTGTTGAAGAAAATATATATATAGATTATGGATATAGAGATTTTTTTTTTTTAAACCTCTGATGCATCTTTTTTTATATTGCATGCTTACATAGTCACAGTTAGTGTTTAATGATGACTACCAATTATTTCTGTCAAAAAAAAAAAAAGCAAATACGATGAAGATTAACCCGCTTATTGAGTTTCAGCCATGTAGAGAAGCCCTTGCTGTCCTGATACTGCAGTCCAAAGTACCAGATCTCTCGAAGTCCAATCGTTTTCACAACCTTCAGGAGGACAAATGCAAAGATGTCACTGATCGTTCACTCTTTAGGATCTACGGTCAATGTTGCATTTGATGGCTTTTGTCTAAATTCCATGCAAAATACATACTTGGTCAAAAAGTTGTTTACCAGTTGTACTGTGCTGAATGGCAAACTCCAGCTCAGCATCCATTGTAGTGACCCTTACGTTTATCTGAAAATACATGATGTGCAATAACACATGACATTGTTAAATCTATTGTAAAAGCAGCTGTAGATAGGGTCAGCTGCATTTTGGACAACTGAATACAGCACCATCATTTCTTGAAAAGTAACACCCAAATCAAAGATAACTTCAGAAGATATAGAAGCCTTTGAGATGAAAGATGGGCATTAAACTCGCATAAAGCTAAACAAAACACTAGCATTCAGAAGAGGCGCATCAAGATACCCGGGGTCACGTCTCAAAACTTGGGGTTAAAAGCTGGTTTTAGAACGAAGTTATCCCAGGGTGGAGCACAGTGTGAAAAGACCCAAAATTGAGTTATGATTGTAGCTTTATTTGGTTTGGTAGTATTTCATAATAACATCCAAATTAACTAAAAGGTTTGAACTAGGCAGTAGTCCTAAACTGTGAACCACCACATTCCATTCAACTCAACTCAAATAACACAAAGCTTCAATACGCATGTTTTAAACAAGAGTATTTGAAAAAGATGAAGTTTTTATTCGAGAGAGGGAGCGAGAGTACAACAAATATTTTCTCTTACTGATTTAACACATAGCCTAGGTCAACATTTTTGAAAAGCAAAACTGATCCGTATTAATGAATCTACAAAAATGAATGAATGAATCTGCAACAATAAATATATAATCGATACTCACAGACATTTGACGATATTTTTATAGTTCCTCACTGTTGTCTTCTCGTAACAGTCTGCTCTCGTCAGAGTCATATGAAAGGACTTGCAATATTGGCCAGGATTACTCTAGTTAATGTGCTCCATTGTGCCTCTAATCCAATGGCAGCCCAGGAATCTCTCTTCAGATTAAAGCAGCTTCTTACGCAGTGTATGAAAGAGCATGTATGCATGATTGAAAGGTTGCACAGATAAAGTGAAACCAATAGTTTAATCCTGCAATACCGAAGACAGCAGTTTAAATTCTATTCCATCAGACGAGCTCTGAATCAAACCTGAAACAAACAGGAGCAAAGAGTAGATCCATGGAAATAATTCAATGTTTATTTTCTTTTTCTTTTATGTCTTATTTTTAACGTAAGAGTGAATGCGCCCGTTTTAAACTACAGTGTGTAAGGCTTCCAGCATCGGCCACTTAGTTATTTTATCTGTGCAGAAACAGTTCATTATGCAGCTTGACGTTGCAAACTAGTATTTGTTATCATATTATTTTCATTCATTATCGTTATCATAAACACGCTAGTTTGTAGCACAAACAGTTTTACAGTTTCCTGAACTTTAAGCCAGTTGCACACCAGATGAGAAGTGCTACATTTAGGTTTTTCATAGGTTATTGTGTATATATCTATAAAAAAGGCTTTTCTTTCTAAGAAAACTGAATTTAAAACCAGAAAATAGGTGCCCATATATTGATACAAAGGTTAAATATTTCAAGAGGTTTAGCAACTGTTATGTTTAGGGTTAGGAAGTGGTTACAAGAATATATAAATGAAATTAAATTAAAAAGCAGTCTGCTCTCGTCAGAGTCATATGAAAGGACTTGCAATATTGGCCAGGATTACTCTAGTTAATGTGCTCCATTGTGCCTCTAATCCAATGGCAGCCCAGGAATCTCTCTTCAGATTAAAGCCTTGTGTAGGAATTCACCATCAGGAAAAAAGAAAGCAATAGAAATAACATTTACAGTATGCAATAATTTATAAGGGTATTTTTGTTGAGGTTCAACACAAGTACACATTGGCAGACATGCAGTCAGCTGAGGTGTAGTCAGCTGTTTGAAGCATTTTGTGTGCAAGCATGTATAATCGATATAGTTGGACACAGGAACACAAAGGATGCGCCTTCCTTTGTTTGGCCTATGTATAAAAACCCTGAGTTCTCCCTCTTTCTCTGTTCGTTCTCATTAGTAGTAGAGTGTGGTTGTATAGATGCTTGTTCTCCTGTTAGTTTACCATTAAAATCTGTTCCTAGAATTCTCCTTCATCGTGCATTTCATTTGACTGCCACATTCTGTAACAATTACTGTTACACACACACACACACACACACACACACATATATATATATAGTGTGCTCAGCTGTAAAGCTGTGTTATAATATACGAGCCCATGTCGATGGGACACTGTACAGTATATCTGCCAACACAGTCAAAATGAATAAAAGCAACAACAACAAAAAAAAAAAATCTGAACTCATATCTAAGCATGCATTGAAACTTTTTTACAAATAATCAGAGTGGAATAAATAAATAAATGACTTGTGTCAGCATATTTCATTTAAATGTTTAAACAATATTTTATTTAGCACATACCAAGTGTAACTGTACGAAGTGTTCCTTGTTTTCATCCATTAATTGTTGAAAACAGGAATTATATATGTAGAAAAAAAAATCCATGTTTATTCTAGTCAGTATTTGCGAAGTACAGAAAAAAAAACTATACTCATTCTATAATAAATCCAACAGTATTTGTGACCCTGGAGCACAAAAGCAGTCTTAAGTCGCTGGGGTATATTTGTAGCAATAGCCAAAAATACATTGTATGGGGCAAAATGATTGATTATTGTTTTATGCCAAAAATCATTAGGATATTAAGTAAAGATCATGTTCCATGAAAATATTTTGTAAATGTCCTACTGTAAATATATCAAAATTTAATTTTTGATTAGTAATATGCATTGCTAAGAACTTCATTTGGACAACTTTAAAGATGATTTTCTCAATATTTAGATTTTTTTGCACCCTCAGATTCCAGATTTCCAAATAGTTGTATCTTGACCAAATATTGTCCTCTCCTAACAAACCATACATCAATGGAAAGATTATTTATTCAGTATTTATTGGTGTATAAATAAACAAAAAAAAAGACCCTTATGACTGGTTTTGTGGTCCAGGGTCACATATATCAAATTTGACTGCCCAAGCGATGTACTCAAAAACATTGATTCACTGAAACACAGAGACTTTGTTGTTCACAGACGTGCAGCGGTTCATCCTCTTACATTCGGAAATAAAATAAAAATAGACAAAGTAACTGGCAATATCGTGTCTAAAAGGTAAGCTCCTCAAACATTTACTCTTTATTAAAGCAATATCACACTCATAATCGTACTGATGGTCTGAATATACCTGTGGGATTAAATGCAAAAACAATTGTGCTCCTTTTCTATGTCGCAGAGCTTGACAGAAATAAATAAATGAATTCATTCTTTCTTTTTTGCTGTCTGATGGAATGGAGACTTGAGCAGTTTGGAGAAGCCCACCAGCATGAGTTTGATGGACATATCTAAGATCTTTTCTCTTCTTCAACCCAAAGAGCATGAGGAGGAAGACACCAACTGCAGTCAGGAACTGAATCAGGCTGTCTTTAAAGACGATGACAAACTCCTCACAGACCTCGTGTCTCAGGACAGGTACAGGAGGTGTGTTAACCTCCGCAGCGGCTGGGGCGTGCCGGTCACTCCGCTGCGGACGGCTGCGTCTCAGGGTCACCTGCGCTGTCTGGAGCTGCTCCTGGCTCACGGGGCCGAGGTCGACAGCCTGGACGTCAAAGCTCAGACTCCACTTTTCACAGCCGTCGCTGGCAAACACCTAGACTGTGTTGTTGCTTTATTGAAAGCTGGTGCCGACCCTAATGGCAGCCCGTATAACAACTGCTCCCCGGTGTTCACCGCGGCCAGAGAGGGCGACGTGGACATCCTGAGAGAGCTCCTGCAACACAGAGCCGATGTAGACGTCAAGCCCAAGATCCCAGACTGGGCCTCCAATGCCATGGCCTGCCGAGGGCCGCTCTACATTTCAGCTTGTTACGGCCATCTGGAGTGCTTCAAACTGTTACTGCAGCATGGAGCGAACCCGGACTACAACTGTACTGAAGAAAAGATGCTGAGCCGGATCAAGCAGCCTAAAACTGTGCTGGAGATGTGTCTTAGATACGACTGCGGGCCACAATACATCCAGCTGCTCGTAGACTTTGGAGCAAACGTCTATCAGCCCACGGTAATTGCAGATAAAACAACCAGACAGAATGAAGCAGTGCTGCTTCTGCTCAAAGAGAGAGGTAAGTCTGTAAAACATTTGTGTTGTTCACCAGAAATTATTTTTTACACTCCATCTGCACTTAAATCTGCTGACGTTAATGTGTGTGTAAGGCGAGGTTTAGGTTTCGTGCATGGGCGTAATTTGCGGGGAGGCAAAAAAAAAAATAGATATACATATTTTCAGATCCAAAATAAATCATCTGAGTAATTTAATAGACTTTAAATCGTTAATATCTATTATTTTAATATCCACCACCATGTGATGCTCCTGGACACATCATCAGTGATGTGAAAAATAAATAAAAAATAATACTTTCCCTCACTCTCATGTGTGTAGTGAAGCTGAATCTGCTTTGGTAGCTTAACTGACTGCTGTGTGGCATAAATGGATGTTTGACTTCCAGTGAGCTGAAAAGATAAGGCTCATAACTAGGTAGAACACTGCATTTTAATCATTTGAAAATGTTATGGTATGTTTTGGTGCCGGAGCTATACAGTGCGTAACGATGCAGTGTTAGAAAATAATATAACAGCCAATTGTTTAGCAACAAACAAACAATCGATACTAAACTGAACAGGGCTCGCCTCATTAAATCTTCACGTGTTGATGATTGCATTGATGATTTCCAGTAAACCCCTCATTCCTCCCAGCATAAATGTCAAGCTACGCTCATGGATTAGGGTGAAACAGTTATGTAGCATTTAGGATGAAAACCACTCAGTGTGTGAGAGGTTCTCACAGGGGTGGGTGTGTGTGTGTGTGTGTGTGTGTGTGTGTGTGTGTGTGTGTGAGTGAGTGAGTGTGTGAGTGAGTGAGTGAGTGAGTGAGTGTGTGTGTGTGTGCTTTACTTTCATGCTGTCATTCGTTCCTATGTGACTGTAACATCAAATCCTCTCTATACGCAGTTTGTCCAAAAACACTGATGTCTCAGGCTCGACTTTCTTTATGGAAGTTCCTTCCCATGGAAAACAAAATGTGCTGCATAGATTGTCTGGATATTCCCAAAATATTGAAGGACTATTTGAATCATGTCTCCTGATTTTCCTACCTTTAATAAAATATGAGTATGTGGATAATGCAACAATGGAGTAGGTTATGTTCTTCTTTTGTTGATGTAGAGTAAATTAATGTGAAAGATAAACTCTGCCCTCTAATGGTTGAAATGATTACAAGGTTTGCAGCTGAACTGTCTTTCCGTGGACCTTCGACAAGATGTTTATTTGAATAATATAATACTTCAAGATGTGAAGGGGAATTCGACCTCTAGAATGTCTTCCAGCGATGGCTATAAATAATGCTTAAACATCACTTCAGATACTTTGTTCATTCATTTTGTCCGATAACAATCGTTTACTACATGATTTGCATCTGTTGCATCTGGATATAAAAAAACTTTTGTCACACTAATCAACTCTTAATTATATTTTCCACAATTCACATTGTTTCAGGGCAGCTTTTTAGAAATTCATTATGCTGATGTTCATTCATGGTAATGTTTTTTAATGCGTTTAATGCCAGTCCACATTGAACAGTTTAGAGCTGGGAGACAGGATAGTTTGCCTTTCACTGAACTGTATGTATGCCGACAAAGTTGCATTCGGTGTTATATAGTAATATGAGATCTGTAAGATTTTGTAACAATTTGGCGTAGTGACAACCTAATCACTATATGCACTGTATACAACTCTTATACAATGCATCAAAAATGCAAAAGCTACTTAGCTCAAAAATCGGGCGTAACACCTCAGCATAAGTCTCAGTACTGTGTTACAGTAGTGGCCATAGTTTACCATATCTACTCTAGTTTAATCAGTTGCTTGTTAAATACCCTGCTGTTCCTCTCAAATGAGTTATTGAAACCTGCTATCAATTCACTTTGCTTTGTGTTTCTGCCATATGTCTGCACACTTACTGTATTGTAATGTATCATGTGTTTTATTATCTTTTGTCATTGAAAAAAATGCATACAAGTATCCTTTGTTTTCTGAGAGAGAGATGTATATGTTTGCAATTAAACATTCATTTTGGATTGATGTAATTTTGTAGTGTACAATAAAAAAATGCTGTTTTATAAGAGAAGTGACATACGATTTTGTGTCAGGTAGGATGCAAAATAATTTCAGCACTTAATTTCTATTTTAATATTCTCAAACATTGACTGAATTGCTATCAGACTTTTATGACAGTCACTGAGTCCAAAGGCCATGATGTAATTTAATGTGTTGACAAGGCACATGTGAATGTGAGGCATGGAGGTCCCGTATAAGAACATCTCTGGGAATAGTTTGGTGTCAAAGAAATCCAATGGCCTGCTGAAGCCCAAACTCACAGAACACCCTTGGGAAGATCGTCTGACTTAACTGCACTTGTTTCTAGTTTCTGCTTCCATGTTCCAATATCTAGTGTAAAGACTTTCCTGAAAAGTGGACGCTGTTACAGAAGCAGAAGTGTTCAATAACAGGTTGACCTGTTAAATAGGAAAATACACTATTGGTGTTTGCTGGATAACAGGTGAGCCAGAGGACATCACAATATTATACATAAACTTCTTAAATAACTTCACAATAACGAGTGTGTCAAGTGAATGAGAGTAAACTCTATGAATGAAATGAGTGCATATCAAACGTATTTATTTAACATTTAGTTTTATTAGTGTTTTATTTAGAAATCATTTAAATTTAGGCGAAAATACCAAAAAACGCCCCGAGCTTAAGTGGTTAAAGAAATGTTATTAACATAATAAAAAAGCATATTGTTTTTATCGGTTATACAAGGCATATTTGTTACACGGAAACTATAAAGGGAACAGCCTTTCATTTAAAATGCACTTCTCGTGTAATCCGATAGCCTTCCCGTTTAAGCCCCGCCCACTTTCGGTTTAAATAAATAAAATACGGATCCATTCAGAATAACTAAACCACTGACCAGCGCATAATCTAAAACACCTTCAGCCAGCATTCACTGTAAAACACTCGTGCTTTTAAGCCAAATACACACTGAAAAGAATTCTGGACGCGAGTCACTATCCTCTCCTGCATCTCTGATGAAATCGTCCGTGTTATCTCTGCATTAGTACTGTTTTGAACTCATTACTAATGCATTTGCTTGAACTTTCCAGAAGTTTACCGGTTTCAAATGACCTCCTGGTAGTGTGCTTTATATAGTGTCATTTCTAATCACCCAGACACTGACGCTTTGACTCAGTACCGGCAACACATCACATCAGAAGTACTGTGCCAGTACGCTAAAGACTAAAATATAGAAGTACCGTCCCACTTCAAGCATTGGGTTTACCCCCATACTACATACAAAAACTAGGTAACACTTTAGTATAGGGACCAATTTTCACTATTAACTAGTTGCTTATTAGCATGCCTATTATTAACATGTTGGCTGTTTATTAGTACGTATAAAGCATTTATTCTGCATGACCATATTGTACATCCCTAATACCTAAACTTAAAAATTACCTTACTAATTATTAATCAGCAGCAAGTTAGGAGTGTATTGAGGCAAAAGTTGTAGTTAATGGTTTGTTAGTAGTGTGAATTGAACCTTAAAATAAAGTGTGACCAAAAACTATTTTAAACATCATTAAAATGAGACACAGCTATGTTTTAGATAGCTATTTTAATGATGTGTCACTTGATCTTAATTGCACTTTGAATTTCTAAAAACTTAAATGAGTGGTTCAGAAAAAGAGCGAGAGAGCAGGAAATGGACTGACATCACAGAACAACACAACCTCCCATTGCAACAATGAACAACACAAATGATATCCTGCTGTAGAAACCTATTAATAGTCTTTGGTTTACTGACATTAGAACCTCATATGTGTCACACAATGCCACGTGAAATAAATAGACTGATTAGAGCAATGGCATTCAGCTGAAGTTTAAAGAGGTCCCATCTATAAATGTTCTTCCCACCCAAGGTCCAAACAAGCACTGTATATCTTTATGAAAATAAGTAATGTGCATGTCAGGAAAATTCAAATTCTGTTAAGTTGACCCATAATAACTGTCAACCAGCTAGAGGAAGAATTAATATAACTTTACACAGGAGAAAGATTAAGATCTATCACCATATGAGTATTTTACTTGTTTCATTTCTACTATTTATAGCACTTAAAGGGTCTTTTAACTTTGTCATCGGACAATTACTGGTGAAACAGTCTAGCTGCTGTTGTTGAGCCTGCACTATCAAACTGTTGATCTGGAACTGTGTCACAGGAAACTAAGGAAGAGGGCAACTGTTCTACAAGATAAAAAGTGACGACATCACATGAGGTGCTTTCTGAACAACAGTTTGAAATGCAGATTATATAGAACAAGCATCAGCGCGTTAGTTGAGTAAATGTCCTTTAATTTAGCGTTAAACACTGATAACTCTCCCTCTGTCTCCCCCCCCCCGCTCATAAGAGTTTAGTCTTGCCCTTGGTTTTAAAAAAACAAAAAGTAAAGGAGGGTTTTCTTATCCAGGATGTGCATTGTGACAGAAATGGATAGCAGGAAAGCCGCCTGCTCGTGCACAGGAAGTGGGCTGAATGTGAGGCGCTTGGAAAATGTTTTATTGTCTTTTATCATCTTTCAGTACAAACGCTTGTGAAGAAAGGTTGATACCAATAAAAAGCCTTTGAATGTATGTTATGTACTGTATGTTGGATACGTATACGGAGCGCAAGTGACATGTTTTAGCGGATGAAACGGCTATTGTGCCCGTATCATGTTGACAAACTGGAGTGTACGACTCACAAGGGGAAAGAAAACCCAATTGTCTTTCCCTCACAATGGTGCAGCACAGACAGAAG